ACAAGAAACTTATTATAACTATAGAAGAATCACTCGTCTTATTTCCCATCTGATTGTATTTGATCAATAACACTCATATTATTATTATTTCTGAATGTACATTATCCCATATTACTGATTTGTATTCAAATGTCTAATCATCAATTCCACACATGTATATAAATGAGGGAAGAATGTGTGAGTGAGTGACTTGATATGATGATTATGAGTGGCAATAATAAATTGTGCTCGAAGCGTGTGGTCGCATCAGTTAATATTACTTACTGTATAACACTACACACACTGTGAGTGACAGTTTATCAAAATAAAATCTTATCCATAATGGAGTTTCAGCAGACAGATTGACAACACAGGAATTTTTAACATGTGATTATTTGTCCCATGTAAAGTGTAAAATGAAGCTACAGGACTGGTCTGCACCGACTGTTACTGCCGGATGATAAGCTGGTGTGGAGATATGTTTCACTCCAAGGAGTCTCATTAGTTCACGAAACACCGTCGGTTGGATTTGATCGCCTCGGTCGGATGTAATAGTAGTTGGTACTCCGGTGGCGAAAAGCCAAAGCAACATTTTCTGCAGATATATATCGTTTAGGCGGCATTCGATAGCCCATCGAGTAAATCTATCGATGGCTTTCAGGATATGTGTATATCCTGTTGATGTTGGCGATGCTCCCACAATGTCTATATGAACATGTTGAAATCTCTTATCCGGTAAATCAAACGTCTTCGGCGTTGTAATACAGTGTGGCGATGTACTTTTGAGCAGTGGCATTGGAGACATTCCCGTGCCCATTTCCGAATGTCAGAGTTCAGTTCATTCTAGGCCAAACGAAACATTCGCTGATAAGTCTGACCGTAGAACGTACTCCAGGATGAGAAAGTGAATGTAAGTGTTCAAACGACGCTTTTCAGGCATGATCTGAGAGGAACAAACGAACGATTATTACCAGAAGATAAATCGCACGCAAACTATAGTTGCGTCTGATAAAGGAATAGGTACGTCCCTGAACTGTAAGGAAGAGTTTTCGCGACACTTTCAGGATAAGGAGTGAAGTGGCTGTTTTGAGCAGTTGCATCAACAATAATGAGAACTAAACACTGACGAAATCTTAGTTTGAATATAAAAGATACACCCATAAATTTTCGTACACCTGATTTTCCTTTAGCCTTGAGAGAATGTGTGTACTAGACAGCAGTTCACCCGATGCTTATTTCCGGCTGTAGGACATAGCTGTTGAAGTTGGAAGATATGAAGAGCCTAGTCATCCATCTTTGATCCTGAGGTTTTGCAGTCTGTCTCTCTCTCCTGTCTTAAGTGGCGTGATATGGAGGGAAATGATGAGGTTATGTGTGTAAGGTATTCAATAGTAGAGAAAGTCCAACTGATAACGTTGTCAATGTGAATCGACTGAGATGGCTTAGGGAATATGTTATTCATAACACATGGTTGCTGCCCTCAACGAGCAATGTTGGCTGAGATCTGATAAGTCCGGAAAGGCGATTTCTAGTTGTCAAACCAAAACATATTACACTAAGTGTTTGACTGTTGTTGGTTTGAGCCACTTAAAGAGGTACAGACTGTGGAGATGATCGGTGCCCCGCTGATATTCGATAACTGCAAACTATTGGTGATATGGCTCAAAATAGTTAGTTCCCAGTGGCTCAGATCAATTAAATACACCAAACTAAATCTGATCCGTTCACTCAGCTATACAGAGTTCGCAGAATTTCCACCCCTGACACCATCAAAGAGATGAACTGGACAATCTCAAGAGAATCCTCGTCGAGAATTGTTATCCAGAACGATTTATTGCAAAATCTATGAATCCTAAGACAACAAAAGCCGCCAAGGCTTAGCGTCCCGAGAAAACTACTCTACATGAACCTTCAATTCAATGGAGAGATATCTGAGGAAACACTAAAAATTCGACTGTCGCGCTCACTTAAGAAAACCTTATTCGCAGCTGAACTACGACTAACCTTCTCCACAAAACCTATGATTCATGTGAACGTGAAGGACAAGCTACCACTGCTGACTGGCCTCATCAATGTGTATTTACCAATTCACCTGCTCGTATGGAGCCAGGTATGTTGGCCGTAAGCAACGTTCGCTTTCCAAACGTATCACTGAACACTCACCAACATGGTTTTACAAAGGGGAAAAACGATGCCCCCATCCAGCTCCATCTTAGAACATCTGATAGAATCCGGACACCAAGATACACCGCAAACAAACTTCAAAGTCGTCTACAGAATACGAAGTAGTCTTCCTAGAGGTGTACGAATCAAACTTCTTCAAACTGCAGAAGCAATGGCGATTCACTTGCCAAGCCCAGAATCACTACATTTGCAATGGACGTAATCTATCTTATTGCTCAACAGGTAAATTCTACCTAAACTTTTTCTCTTCTGTCTCTTAAATAATATTATTATTTTGTCTTCTCAATTGTAAGATTTTACATTCTCAACCTTCTTGTTCTATACCCCCACCAGATTTAATTTCTACATCATTATCACTGTTACTGACTTGACCAACGCTCAATTTCTAGTCATTTATGTTACGTCATCCAACTTATTTGCTCAATTTTAGTTCTAATTTAGATGGCATTATTCTCTACCCCACTTCTACTTAGTCTCTCTCTACCTGTAATTACCTCTGTTGCTGCTACCCTGACTTAAGTTGAAACACTTTAGTCAATCATATTACGTCGCCTAACTTACTAACTCAATCTTACTTTAGTTGCTGTCTAATTAACCTTGTTTCTATATTCTTGGATCATTCTTGTATTTCCTGCCTGATTAATTATCTAAAATTGACAAACCTCATGTACACACACACACACAAATAATTATATATAAATGCGATTGTACATCTAGCTGTGTGAATGAATTCGCCGTCGAAAAGAGTCTCTTTGCTGAACGTCTTCTCTTTTTCAGATAAATTCACTCGTTATGGTCATATTAGGTGTGCAGCTATACCCCTGACTTCTACAATATATTTAGGTTTCAAATGGAAGTGAACAAATTTTAGAGGTTTAGGGGGAGGGGGGACGAAGTAGTCGGGTAGAGACTTTGAAATAAAACAATTCAGTTTATCTAATACGCTGCCTGCGATGATTGTCAGTTCAAACTAGTAGAATAGGGTCAGTGAGTCAGACTTGCCGAACATAAACACCTAGCGGAAAAATCTATATTGGTTGACCCGAATAAGATAAGAAATCTAGAGAACAGTTCAGCTATAGCACTCACTACATGCAATCACACACAACCACACAATAAGCTGGATGGGATAAAATGACAGTTTTCAAATCTAATGCCACAGCAGGGTTCAGGGAAAGATTAATAGCAACGGAAGCGTTGTTTATCGAATCAACTGCAAATACGTCCCTGCAATAGGAATGATTCAACACCTGTCCATCTGGACATCTGGAAAATTCTACTACCCTTAACGACGACAAATAGGAGAGGATAAAGAAAACTATAAAACTCAAGTTTCAAAGTCGTGTGATTATAATTGGTGAAACGATTACGAACAATAAATTTTGTTCAAAACAAACTAATAAGGGAATTATATTAAAGAGTACATTTCACAGCATACGCATCAATTTCGTTTTTTTTACAACGGTGACAGTTAGTTATATGCACATTTAACACATCGCTCTTCGTTGATATTCTGCCGTCGCCACACTGTAATCCTCAATTCGGAAGCAACGGCTTTCATTTTGTTGCAGAAACCTAAAAAACAGGAAAAGAGAGAGAAGCCGACTAATAAAGCTTCATATAAACCAGTGAAATAATTACAAGTGAATCCTTCTGAACTTAACGACTTAGGAATCAACTTGTTACCAGGGAAAAGTCTTATGAACTTAGAATATGCAGATGACATTGTCCTGTTAGGGGAGGATGCTGACAAAATGCTGAGTCCTCTCAACACCTTGAGCAGCAGCAATCTCCGTATGTTTGGCATGCGATTCGCCCCTGTGAAGTGTAAGATGCTGCTACAGGACTGGACTACGTCTACCCCTAACTTCGTGATAGGGAGTGAAGTGATAGAACATGTTGACCAGTTCACCTATTTGGGAAGTTGTATCAGTACCAATGGATTGATTGGTGACGAAATCTCAGCACGGATCCAAAAAGCTCGGGCTGCTTTCGCTAACTTACACCGTCTCTGGCGTAGACGTGACATCCGACTATCAACCAAGGGACGTGTGTAATGCTCAGCAGTTCGCTCCGTCCTTCTCTATGGCTCTGAAACATGACCAATATGAGTTGAAGACATGAAAAGGTTCACTGTTTTTGATCACAGATGTCCACGATCTCTTTCTCACGTTAGGTGGCATAATAAGGTAAGTAATGTTGACGTTAGGCGTAGAGTGTTGGGCAAAGTGGGAAAATCAATCGACGAGGCTATAAAGTTACATAGATTGAGATGGCTAGGTGACGTGCTGCGCATGCCTAACCATCGCCTCCCCCTCCCGACGGGCATTACTAGCTGATATAGGTGCAGGTTGGAAAAGAGTAAGCGGTAGCCAAACAAAAACATGGCATCAATCCATGAAATCATTGACAGTTAAACTGAGTCAGGTAGGGAGATGCAGACTTCCGGGTTGGGGTCCTCGGGACTCTAAGAATCAATGGCTGGAGACAAACAATAGGTGACATGGCTCAAAATCGTTGTCAATGGCTTACGCAGATGTATTCAGTCTCTTGTGTAATCTTTCATATTCCTTTCTACCATTACTCATTCTGTTTCACTCTTATACTTGTCAAAACTCTATTGATTCCCTTCACTCATTTTCTTGTCTACCTTTGTGTGCTATTTGGAACGTGGCAACTCAAACTGCTGCACTTCGGTGCCAAGTTCTATGTTTAATCCAGCCTTCTAAAAGTCTGTCTGTCTGTTTTCGACACAGAACCACTTTGCACCGATGTGCAGCAGTTCAAGTCGCCACACACTCCCTCCACTCCATCTAGCACACAAAGCAAGTGAAGAAAGTAAAAAGAAATGTATAATAGAGAGACAATAAACAGAGGTGTGGTGAGACAAAGGAATAGTAATAACGAAGAACACAATATAGTTTTTATTTGAGCCATATCACCAATTGTTTCCAGCCTTCATTGGTTTTTACCGTCATCCCGAGGACCACAACCAGTCAGGTAGCCAGTCTACACCTTCCTACGTGACTGGCTGGCTAGTTTAAACTAAGTGTTGTGGATTTCTTCATTGACTGGTGAAGCCATGTTTTGGTTTGACCGCCGCTAGCTAACTCTTTCCCAGCCTGACCCTATGTCAGCCAGCTAACATTGCCCATTGTCGAGGAAGGCGATGACCAGGCATGCATACGTAACACATGTCCTAACCATCTCAGTCGATGCAATTTCACAGCCTGGTCTATTTATTTGCCCTCCCTCCTTACCAACGCCTAACCTCAATATTGCTCAACTTATTATACCACCAACTAACACAGGAGATAGAACGCAGGCGCCTATGATCGAAGACAGCTAGTCAGCCTTTTCATCTCTTCCACTCTCAATGGCCAGGTCTCCCTCACAGCCAGCCATAAAGGAGGACGGAGCGGACTGCTGAGCAGTAATTTTAATAAAAACAAGTACTCAACATTGGGTTCTTTTTGGTTGTGACCTGCATTAGAATCCGAGATATACATACATATTTTATCCTTTATTGAGTCTGTCAACTAGAATATAATTATTTACCAGTAAATTCTACGGTATCAAATGACAGAAATATAAATAATAGGTAAGTGATTCCCATCTTTTAGAAGTAAGCTAACGTTGCAAAAATATTCGACCGCCACCTACAACGCGCCCAATAATACCAACAACCAGTTATCATTGAATCCCCCCCCCTCGCAGACGAGAACACAAGTCCTGAAAGTATTCAAGATGCTAAAAGCTGGAGCTGGAAAAGCAGCACGACCAGGTACAATCCCAGCAGAAGTATCGAAAATGAACCCAGAGACAACAACGGATTTGATGACAACACTTCTGGAGAAGGTGTGGAAAGAAGGCAAAGTACCCGAGGAGTGGAAGAAAAGATGCTTATTCAAACTGCCAAAGAAAGGAGACTTAAGTCAATGCAAGAACTGGGGTGGAATTATGCTCCTATCCATCCCAAGCAAAATACTAAGCCGCATCATTCTGGAGACAATCAAACAAGCCGACCTGGATGAAAAACTTCGACCGGAACAGGCTGGATTCAGGAGAAACAAGTTATGTATTGATCAAATCGCCACACTACGGATCAACATTGAACAAAGCTTGGAATGGCAGTCATCTCTCTATCTCACTCAACTTCATCAACTTTGAAAAGGCCTTCGATAGCCCAGCGTCGACCGACAGGTGATTTGGCAACTACTTCGTGTAGTGTTTATGAGTTAATCAAACATTCACCGATCAAGTGAGAATATTGAGGGCCCGCAATAAAGGCTTTATTCGTTTTATAATTTCAGTATAGAATCTGGTTTAAACAAAAATGAAAGATGTGAATAGTGTATAATATAAATGCTAAACGTTTATGAAAATGTTCACACCACACTTCGCTACTACGGGGTGCCACCGATAAATACACATCTCATCTAACAGTTGTACGACAACGCTGCTTACCAAGTAATCCACAACGGGAAACTTACGAAATCTTTCGAAGTAAAGACGGAAGTAAGACAACCCTACCTACTACAGCCAATGATTTTCCTGATTGCAGTAGATTGGATAATGCGACAGACAGCGAGCAGCGAAAAAGCAGGCATAAAATGGACCCACACAAAAACGACTTGGAGGATCTGGACTTCACCGATGATATATGTCTGATTTCCCACAAACTGGAAGATATGTAAGCGAAAAGCAACAAGTTGGGAGAAGAAGCATCCAGAGAAGATAGGACTTCCTTCAGGTGAACATAGAGAAAACAGAGGTGATGAAGATTTCTGGGAAACAACAACAACAGACAACAATCAGTCAGCATAAATGGGAGGAACCTGAAAGAAACAACCTCATTTACCTACTCACCACCTGCCTGGGAAGCATCGTTTCAACTACAGGCCGACGGAACTGACGAGGATATCAAAGCATTGAGGATCGGGAAAGCAAGACGAGCTTTCATTACTCTCAAGTCTTTTTGGAGGTCAACGGTACTACTCAGCATGAAAATGAAAATAATATCCGGATTTTCAACTCCAATGTGAAGTCAACCAGTGCTACTCACTATACGGATCAGAGACCTGGCCAGTGCGTCATAAAGAGCATCTCAAACAAACTAAAGACCTTCATCAAAAGCTAGCTGTCTTCGCTCAATACCACTCAAGATCAGATGGCTGCCTAGAAAAGATCAGCAACAAGGATCTCTGGGAGCAAACCAGCTAGGAACCGATTGTGCAACAAATAAGCAGGACGAAATGGAGGTGGATAGGATTGTGGTCATACTCTGAGAAAACAAACCATCAAGTGACATCACTAGAGAAGCCATTGCTCGACCGGAACCCGAAAGGGAAGCGGCGAGTTGGTCGTCAGCGTGAGGATGACATTGGGGGAGGAGGTCATGTGAAGAGATGATGAAAGCATGTGGGCACACTTGGAGCCAGGTGAAAACTTTAGCAGAGAACCGAACGCAATGGAGACGTGAGCGGCTGAAGCCCTATGTTTCTCTAGGAATTAAAGGAAATAATAATAATAACAGAATGAGCCAAAGTAATTTTCTTGTGTGGTTAAGATATATACTGAAAAGTGATGGAAAACAAAACTTTTATACCTCCGAGGCCTATAGAAGACAAATCAAAAGTAAAAAATCACCTATTTTGTCTGTTTTAAAAAATGTTCACTAGTGAGTCATAGTTGATGTAATACTACTTATTACCTTTGAACTTTGAGGTGGAGAAAAGACTGCACTGTTAGTGCTACAATGAATATTTTTATTTACTAACATGATATATATTCGATGATTCTAAGATCAACAACCTAAAACCAAGTTTTTTAGTCGGCACAAAAAAGTGGCGATTGTTGACAGTCCGTCCATACAATTAATGCTATTAGATAGTTGGAAGCAATCGGCCAGAGGAAGCCTTGCCCGGACCTAGGTTTCGTGCTAGTTGTTGGCACTCACCGGTCAGTCAGTCAGCAAGGCGTATCTGCAACCACCTTGAAGGAACAGCTCATGTCCCACCCATCTGAGATTCGAACCCACATCACCCAGTGAGTACTGCAGTCAGAGACGTGACCACTGAGCTATTGTGGCTCGCGATTGACCTCCTGTAGGACGCAAGTTCGAATCTCAGAAGGAGGGACATGAGCTGTTCCTTCAAGGTGGTTGCAGATACGCCTTGCTGACTGACTGACCGGTGAGTGCCAACAACTAGCACGAAACCTAGGTCCGGGCAAGGCTTCCTCTGCCGCCGATTGCCTCCAACTATCTAATACCATGAAATCAATGTGTGCACCGTGATGGCGAGCTATCTGGTGGCATGGTGGCTACATTGCAAACCTGAATGACTGACAGACAGATAGAATTCAGTCTGCAACAATCAAAAAAAGGACCAGCCAGACACGTCACACACTAGTTGCTGACTAGTGTCAAATCAAAATATACAACTAATGCATTGTGCAAGATCGTGAATGTGTAAATGTGAAAAATTTATACGCGTCTCACTCTTCGTTAATTTACAATGCAATAAAAAATATATAAAAAAACACTCACTGCAAAAACTCAGCAACTAAAGCTTCTAGCATAGGGAGACTATGCGCATCGACTCGGACGCATGAAACCATATCTCGGAGTTTAACTATAAACAGTAAAAAATAGTTTCAAAAGACAGACATTTTTTAGGTTCAACAATTCACATAAATTGTTGTATGTATGTTGCATGAGCTTGAAAATCATCTACATAACTGTTAATTGCATGGAGGATTTCATCATGAGCTGACATCAGTTAGTGAGAACCATTGGAAAACCCACCTGGGAGTACTGGACAGCTGTTTCCCCCTCCTAGTTTTGGATTGGCTATTCAGCAGTACGCACCCACCCCACTGACAGGGTTCGAACCCGGGACCTTCTGGTTACAAGAAGAGCGAGCTAGCTAGTAGACCAATATACTTAATAAACTGATCTGATGCTCGCTCACTACCGAATGGCTGGCTCTCTCTATTCAGGCAGTTAACCTGGGGTTCCAGTGGGAAGACGTGACCAGTAGAGTACACAGCAAGTCGAAGGTGAAGGCAGTTACTACTCATCGAAGACATTGTGATAAGTGGTTGCGCTATATGTCGTGCGTGAATTGGCAGAAGTTAGAATTCATGGACTGGCTGGCTGGCCATTGGATCGGACATCAGTGGCTGCTGAATGCTCTACGAGCTAGCTCGCTGGCCGCCTTGTAACCGGAAGACGTCCTGGATTCGAACCTCGTCGGTGGGTGCATGATGTTGAAGAGCCACAAATTAGGACGGGGGAAACAACTAACTGTTCAGTACTCTGCAGTGGTGCTTTTCCAATGGGGTTCTCTAACCGATGTCAGCGGTCATGATGAAATCCTGCAACCAATAAAAAAATCCCTACAAAAACCAATACTTCAAAATACTTTTTGCAATACTTGAAAATTATGCTCTGTAAATGACAAAATGTGGCCGAAGAAGCATCAAAGATAGGAGGGACTTCAGGTGAACATAGAGAAAACAGATCTAACATTGGAAGCTCCCTGAGTTCCTGACTTTCCGATTCCACATAAGTGAATTGAATTACCTCCACCTTTGAGTTAGTTAATGTGTTCGAAAAATCTGTCTATATCCTGTGTTCTAAGTACAATGAATGAATGTGTCATCTACATACACCTCCACCACACATTTGGGTTGGCAAATACATGTAATAGGAATGATTCAACACCTGTCCAGTCGGATATCTGGAAAATTCTACTACCACGCCTACGATAACAAATAGGAGAGAACAAAGAAAACTATCAGACTCAAGTTTCGAAGTCGTGTGATTATAACTGATGTGTATGATTATGAACAGCAATAATGAATTGTGTTCGAAACAACTTTGTCACCCAGTAAATACTAATACTGTTTCACTCACTGACTGACTGTGTGTGATACATCCATCTAATAAACAAACTAATATGGAATCACTTACTGCCACCACCACAGTGCGCAAGTTTTACACACATACATTAAAGGGAACATTAAGACGACTTACCAAACAACCTTAACAAATGAATTGAACCATAAATATCTGACATTCTCTTATCTCTATGATGTTTCAATAGCTCAGCATATTGTAATCGTTCGAATTTGTATAATAGATGAGAACCAATAGTAAGATTGAAAAAATGCTGAATTCCAACAACAAATTCACGCCGTACACGCGGATTTATTGGCAACTTAGTAGTAGTAGTAGTAGTAGTCAGCTGAGAGTTCTCAGGTTCAGAAGAAGTGCAGTCTTCTTTTATTTCACCAGTTGATTCTGACTTCTGACTAATTTCAGCCTCAGAAGCTTCTAAGAAGTCTGATAAAACATTACATATTGGCTGAGAGGCAGGCAGTTCATAAAGCTGTGAAAATTTAACCGAAGAAAAAATAACTTTTAGAAAGGAAAAACCTCTAGCTTCTTGACACACACACATAAACTCACTAGTAGAGGGAATAAAAGTCACATTTGAATCGGTAAATAAACAAGCAGAATTAGCTTTTATGATGTTAGATTGTAAAATAAAACGAATAGAAGACGGTAAACTTCACACTAGCGGCGTTTATAAAAAAAACCAACGCATTATCCTCATAGATGTTTAGACTTCAATTCGTCTCATCCGTTATCTGTCTGTTAAGTCAGGCTTAGTTAAGTTAAGTGTCTTACAAACCGAACAAGAAAAGACCTAAATGATGAGATAAAACAGATGACCTCTGCGCAAGTATGTTAAAATTGTTTTTGTAGATATACTACTTAATGTCTTTGGCGTGTAAGCAGCTGACGAGAAGGCAACCAAATAGAAGATGGTACCAGTCACTTTATTCTGCAATAACCACTGTTGTTCTTGCTTTGTTCAAATAATAACAATAATAATAATGGAATTTTGATACATCGTTGAATTCTCTGAACGATGAGAGGGGTGGGGGTCGCAAGGTTTCTCCCTGTAACAAAAACTACTACACATCCGAATGCACTCTCGACTAGGCTTCACTGCGATTTTCAACCCATCGAGATGCAACGGTGGCGAGCCAACCAACACTCAAGATGAGAACATTCCTGATCACCCGGAACCAAGGTGAGCCAAGGTACATACTGTGTAACATCTAAGTGACCAAATTGATCACTAAATTAACAAATTTCGACCAACGCTAAAAAATTGGAAATTGCTTTGCTGACTGGATGATATAACGCAACTGAAGATTACTTACCCGAGCTTGACGAGTAATCAAATCCCAGTCATCGATAAGCCAAGATTTCAAAGATAGAGGCAGTGACATCGATAAACGAGGCTGAGACAGAAGGCCATCTTCCTGAGATATGAAAAACAGTGAAGAATATAACGGTAAAGTTGAGAGTATGAATACATACATATAAAAAAATAATGCTTTTGCTCCCAACACCTACAAGCCCGCTCAGTTTCTTGTCAACATGCTACTCCTTCTATCTAATTAGTGGTGCTTAAAGTTTAACTTGGCCACACATCGTACCCCCTGGGAAACAAAGAACTGCCAGATGTTAAGGGACAAAACGACTTAGGAATTATTGTAAACCATGACGCAAAAACAACCGAAAATTGTAATCGAGCCGCAGCTAACACTAGAATGCCATGAGTACTTTGAAGGGCTTTCAAACGAACGACTAGACGAGTCTTTGTTCTAAGTACTCTATGCAACGTATGTCAGCAGGCCTCATCTAGAGTACTGCATACAAGCGGTGATTTCATGCTTCAAAAAGAGGGCACAAATCCTAGAAAGAGTACAGAGGGTAGGAACGAAATTAATTAGTGGTAACCCAAACCTTCCTATGACAAGAGGATGGAGCATTCAAATCTCTTTCCATTATCATACCGAAGGAGGAGGAGAGGTGACTTAATTTTGGCATACCGTGCAGTAAAGGATGATTTAGGAATTCATAGTCTTCACCGCAAAAAGGTGCTCAGACCTAGGTCGAATAAAAATACATCTACAATTTAATTTAGATTCTCTCACAGAATGGTCAACAATTGCAACTCCTTACCTGATTCAGTAGTAACAGCTCCATCGGTGAACGCTTTCAAAGAGAGAAATTAGATTTCTGCAGAGATGTATATTTCAAGGAATAACGCAGACCAGAAGAGCTTTCTATCTTTATTATCTTGATTTGAAAAACAGCTTTAGCTCAAAGAAATATTTAGTTTCATGAACAACTTTTCAAGAGGATTTGAAAACCAGAGGACAGTTAGAAAAGGGAATTTGTTCGCAGGAGTGAACATACAGAAAATTAAATTAATGAGGACAATCTCATGAGGACTAGTGGTCACAGTGTTTAAATACGTTTCGAGTGAGCTAGATAACACAAATATGGACTTAAAATTGTCATTTGACACGACGCTGCTACTTTATTATCTCCTCCAAAGAGGAATTTTTTATCTCACAAAATGAATCACAATACCAAAGTACAAACCATCTCGGAAAAACAAATTTAAATCGCATAGAATGAAAAATTCTGTCACAATAAACACGAAATACTTGCATTTTCAAGAGACTTCAGCACTGATGACACTCGGCCTTTCCTTCTCCTACTTGATACTGTGACAGATTGAGTAGACGGTGTGTTTGCATCTTCACAACACTTAATGGGTGGTTTAATATCTTCAGTCTCTTTCAAATCAGCAGGTACACGAGTATCAGTTTTCCCGTTGGTTTCTTTGTTGGTCTTTACGCTCTTGGCCTTAGGAGCATCTTCCTCTATAGCGCCACTTAGTATACAACCGGGTAATATCTCACCTTGTTTCACTTGACCAGGCTTCAATGTCCGTTCCACGTCCTCCAGGACTTCTGGAGGTGGCAATGACTGTGACTTTAAGTCGGACTTCCTCAAAACTTTAACCTTGCCCGATTTTCTGAAAATTGTAAGAAGCATCATGATCAGAAACATTGCTTTACACAAGTTACATTTGTCGCTCTAATTCTTTTTGTTTCCTCAAACCCTCTTCATTATACTTGAACATACGTTTCTCTGTCACCCATTCATCCCAGCTATATCAAAACGTAAATCAATACTGAAATATTATTACTTTTTATTCCAACCTTGGTAATGCACAAAATACATTACACCATCTTCTTTCACTTTGACGTCTAGACATTTCGCCTCATACATAAGAGGCCCATGGAAACAAAGTAATTTTTCACCTTAATGCACGTGATTCTATATAAGAAAACAGTAAGCATCTTACCTATTTCATATTTTGGTTTCAAATCCAAGCTACTCATAGTCACTCAAAATTCAATACACGCTCTCTAATGTCCAATATCCAATATCCTGATTACGAGCTAGTATAAACCAGTGATTTCTTTGAGCTCGCCTCTTGATTGTAAGGTAGAGGTTCCAGATATGTGGTGATCTCCTGCATAGTAAGTCCCGCTACTCGACTGCTTTATTTCTGGTAGACTGCAAGAGGAGTGGTGCGGGGATTGGTCAAAATGTGGTTTGTAGTATGCAGTATGTTAGGACTGTGTTGCTGTCGTGAATGGAGTTTGGCTTAACTCCCCTTGGTAACTCGGTGTAGTCATAAAAGCAGAATAGTAATAATAACAATAGGTTGCAGTGTAGATAATATAGGTTGAGATAATTGAAATAATAAAGGTGACCTAAGGAAAAGATAGAGTAGTCGGTACAGTGAGAGAAGACAGAACGGGTCGTGGGGATTTAGTTGGCATGCTTATCCATTGACAGTGTGGTTTCAAATTTTAAGAGGATAAGCCATTGAGACACAACCTTGCATTTCTGCATGATTGTCCAGCTTCCGCTTAAAAGTCTCCACAGATGGCGCTGTAGTCACGGCCGCCGGTAAAGCGTTCTAGAGACAGCAAACTCGAAGCGAAAAGAAATGTGAACGCACTCGAGTCTTTGGTCTCTAGTGTGTTACCATTAGCAGGTTACCTCCAGGAAGCTCCCAGCTGGCTTTGCATAAAGTGTAAATTTGTGTGGGCCTTGGCGACGTCCCTCGTGTAATTTCCACTGGTGTCTAGCTTTTCTGTTAGAATAAGACCTAGATCGCGCTCTGATGGCACACAACTCAAGTTCTGGCCACCAAGGGTGTAATTTACACCCTGTGACCAGCCGGAATGAAGTTGCACTACTTTGCACTTCTTTAGGTTGAAAGGCATTCTGTTAGCCAGAGCCCAGTCTTCCAGAGTTTGCAGGTCAGCCTGCAATCTGTCTGAGTCTTCCAATGAGTTTATTGCCCTCCAAATCTGTACGTTGTCAGCGTAAAGAAGCGCAGAGCAGTTCAGTTGAAAGGACAGGTCGTTGATATAAATCAAAAACATCAACGGACATAAGATAGAACCCTGAGGAACCCCTTATGCCGAGGTGAGCCAGAATGATCGGATGCGGTTGGCTTTGGTGCAGAATTCTCTCTCGTCTAAGTAATCTTTCAGCCATGCGAGAAGTGCTGCAGAAACACCCTCCTTGCTTATTTTGAGAAGGAGCAGATCATGGTGAACTGTGTCGAATGCTTTTGCAAAGTCGAGAAAGATCACATGGACTGGTACCTTTACGTCCCAGGATAGTGTCCAATTGTTCCAAGCTAGTAGAAGATTCGTCACACAGGATCTTCCCCTCCAAAAACCGTGCTGCGCTTCATGGAGTTGGTCAGTCCCGTCGAAGCATTTTCCCATGTGGCCGTCAGTGAGACTTTCCAATATCTTCGATATCACTGGAAGTAGCGCAACTGGTCTGTAACTGGTCGCATTCTGCCGGTCGCCACCCTTGAAGACATGGGATAGGATGGCTCGTTTCCATTCGCATGGAGGTTTCCCTACATCAAAGGAATGTTGAAACAGATCACTTAGGGGTTGGCAGAGACTCTCTGAACACTGCTTCAGGACGGTGATATGTAACTGACTAAGCTGATGACTGGACCGGCTTTTACTTACCATTTTACCAACATTTGTGGTCCTTTAGACAAGCTAGGGTGGACATGTTAATGTGTCTCTCTAGGCTCTGTTTGAACCCACTGGGGTTTTCACAACATCTAATTTCAGGTGGTAGTTGGTTCCAAAGAGTGCAATATTTAATGGTGAAAAAGTTTGCCCTAATGGATTTTCTGTGGGTAGCCACCTTGACAAGGTAGTTGTGGTTTCGCAGCTGATATGATTTAATATTTTCCCACGTTATGGATGAGTTACTATAACAGTGTTTTCTTATGACTTTGAATAGTAGAAATAAGTTGCACTTCACTCTCCTTAACCACAGAGGTTCTAAATTCAGACGCATACACCTGTCAACATATTCCACTGGTTGGTCAAACCCTATTATGCGTTTCGTTAGGAATCTCTGAACACTTTCGATTTTTTTTCGGTCTGCAGACCTTAGGTTACTATACAGGAGAGCACAATATCCAAGTTTGGGGCGGATACACGTTCTATATATAGCTAATCTTGCTTCTTGGGTGTAGAATTTACGCAGCACAAAGCCAATAAGTCGTTTACAGTCAGATACAACCTTATTTGCATACGCAGCTCTCTCCTTGCATTTCATCTGGTAGAACCAGAAGCAACTATAGGAAGCTATATGCCAGGACTACCAAGTATAAAAACTCCACAATACCTTATCTGGCACAGCTGTTATGTGATGAGAAAACTGTTAGGCATGACATGATCAATTTACTGCGGCACTCTAACAAATAGTTCCCATTAGCTTTTGTTCTCCTTTCTTTGTTACTATTATATTGTTGCTCATATATTCTATTACAGACTAATTTTATATATCATATCCTGTGGTGCATTGTTTAAATATGTGAATGCAATGCTGTTCTTTTTTTCTTTTATTTCTCTTTTTCTTTTTGTTGTTGTTGCTTTATATTTCTAAATCCTTATAAAATTTATGAGGTAATTAGATGCAATATTGTAATGAACGCTGAAAATTCCATACCTGTACCACAAATACTGTTTGGAATAAAGCCATTATTATTATTATCGGAAAAGGTCAGATCTGAGTATGTTATCCCAAGATCTGTGACAGTGTTCAGTTTCGAGAGGAGCTTACCGCACATACATAGGCACATTCTCGGTTTCCAGTGTCCAAGGTGGGCTATACCGCACTTGTCTGGGTTGAAAGTCAGTTGCCACTTTTCGCTCCAATCGCCTAGATTGTTTAAGTCATGTTGGATTTTGCTTTCGACGCTCATATCATCGTACCCGTAATCATACACTATCTTGAGATCATCTGCAAAGAGGTATGGCTTGCCATACTTGATCACAGAGACTGTGTCATTTATATATAAGAGGAGTAGAATAGGGCCAAGAACGCTACTCTGAATTACACCACTAGTTATCGGCTTTGATGAAGACAGCTGGTGGTTGATTTTGGCTAATTGCTCCCTTTCTGTGAGAAAAGAATTTATCCATTTGGGAAGTTTCCCGGTTATTCCGTAGGATTGGAGTTTTGTCATGAGTCTGATGCGTGGGACTTCATCGAGGGCCTTTCTAACGTCGAGAAATAATGTTGTAAACTGTAAACTGTACCGAATGCCCATTATATGTATATATATTTATTCCTGTTTATGCAGGAACATACTAATTTTACAGGCATGGATAAGTTATTATATAAATTACACATGTTTTGATATATGTTGAATTTACAGTTTGTTTGTTCTTTCTGACATTAGAGTCAGTCGGAACAGTCTGCAAAATAGTCTGTCTGTGTAACACAGAAAAAGATATAGAAATATTGTCTTCGCATTAACAAAAACCCAGACATCAGATGAATGTAATACAAATATCTAGGAAAAATAAAGCTTGAAGTCAATTCTCCCATATAACTTTGTTGTGAACAGCATCCTTGAGTTAAAGTTCATTGATGTATTATTTTGAGTCAGTGATGTATTTATTCCATTTTTTCACCAGTCTAAGCGTAGTTTTATAATAGGAAAGAAATTTGATCGCGGATACGAAAACTAGATAAGGTCATGTTAGATTGTTTTACTGCATAGAACGGGGCCGAGGTCCATTCCAGAACTATCCGCTGGCGCC